GCCAGAAAGTGTGCATTGTGTTATTCATACAGGCGTAAAGAATCATTACAGTATTCAAGGTCACCCAAGGATACGACAGTAGCTTCGCTACATGTTACATACCCACCAAAAATTATAGCGGACATGTACTGTCCAGGAAACTGATTGTATAGAAAAGTGTTGTTTTTTATCTGTTGCGAAGCACTCAGGCAGAAGGGCTTGTTTTGCCGCTTTGTTGTAAATGACCGCGGGTGACCCCGAAATGGAACGCGGGTTCGATTCGAATCGCCGAGATCGAACACGATCGAACACAGTTCGGGTTCTATGAAATGTGGGAACTTTGCAGCCCAGATTTTTACCACCGTGGATCTGCTGTGTCTTTGGCATCGCTGCGCAACCAGGTGAGTAAATGCAACAATAATGTATTTTTTTAATAAACGGACTTCCAGTTTTTTCTACGAAGAAAGCGTTTGCTTGTTTTGTTTCAGTAAGCTAGTGTGGTTGTGCAGATCCCGATGACTTGGCGTCATACATATGTTTACCCTACATTTATGATGATTCGGACTGATCCGAAATGAACACTTAGATGTGAGAAACACTGCACGAAAATCAAAATATCCGGTCGTTTCCGAGCCTGTACATGTCCTGTGAAACTTGGCGTGTCCGCGTGTGTCCCAATGTGTGCAGGACATATCGGCCACGGTGTGTGCGGATCTGTAAAACCCCCGGACACGGCCGGACAACTGGTAATGGACATATCACATTATTACGTCACAGTTTGTTTACCTGTTCTAAAGAACATTCTAGAACTATCAATTAAAGAATAAAGATCATTTCAAAGTTTTCAAGTATGTTTGATTTTTGTTTCGTTTATACCGTGGCCGACAAGAACAGAATTTTACACCGCAACTTTTGGTGTTTTACACCGCAACTTTTGGTGTTTTACACTGCAACTTTTGGTGTTTTACACTGCAACTTTTGCTGTGTTTTACACTGCAACTTTTGCTGTGTTTTACACTGCAACTTTTGCTGTGTTTTACACTGCAACTTTTGCTGTTTTACACTGCAACTTTTGGTGTTTTACACTGCAACTTTTGCTGTGTGGAAAACTTACACCCCTCCCCTTTTATAATGGACGGTCCCCCTGTCAGGTCAAAGGTGACAAAGATGGCGGCGGCCTGAGAGTCACAGTGTCGTGCTGTGACTGAGTGTGAGACATCAACAGAATGGGTTCTTAAGAAATTGATCAAGCTGTGAATAAATTGATGATTTATAATTCTGTCTGTTCTTCTTTGTGTTTTAACTTTACTATACTTACACAACACTGTATTGCCTCCATGATGACAGTTTATAAATTAGTGATTGACTAATTAACATTGATTAGATGTCTTATTAACTATAAATATTGTATACAATATTATTCTACATTTGTATACGAGCGATCGCTGTTTTTGTTTACATTATACGCATGCAAATTATTTGAAGACATATGCAAATTCTTGGTAGGCAAATCAGCCAACTGGTACCCACTTTTTGCCTACGGTGACGTCATGGCGATCGCTCGTATTGTTCCCCTAATGATCGATAACTTACCTGAGTCAAGAGTCAACACTTCATAATTGAAAATAAGTCTTCATAGTACCAAGTGGTGCCACATTTGACTCCCATAGGCCCCAATATTTACTCATCAAATTATTAGCGACCTTGCGAGTCCGAATTCTCTAGCTAGAAAATGTCACGTGACTCAAAGGTACCGTGGCCGACAAGAACAAAATTTTACACCGCAACTTTTGGTGTTTACACCGCAACTTTTGGTGTTTTACACCGCAACTTTTGGTGTTTTACACTGCAACTTTTGGTGTTTTACACTGCAACTTTTGCTGTGTTTTATACTGCAACTTTTGCTGTGTGGAAAACTTACACCCCTCCCCTTTTATAATGGACGGTCCCCCTGTCAGGTCAAAGGTGACAAAGATGGCGGCGGCAAGTCACAAGCTGACGTCTAGGGACATTAAAATGAAGAAAAACGATGTCCATACCCAATAATAATGAACTAACCTGCAGAAAATTTATGTCATTGCTGTTGATGTCTGGAGCTGGATATCTGACGTCCTTGATAAATTTGTTGTGACGCATGGCAGCAAAAAGCAACATAATTTGTAATCACTGGACCTGGTCGAAACATTTTTAAATTTATCCCGATCTATAGGCCAAAGCTAGAAAAACCTTTAGAAAAAAACTAACGTCACAACGTAGCCAAGCTTTTCCTCTAAAAAACTTATGCACGAAAAGGATAACTCAGTCGACGTAGTTTGCATGCCATCGTTGTCACCTTTGACCTGACAGGGGGACCGTCCATTATAAAAGGGGAGGGGTGTAAGTTTTCCACACAGCAAAAGTTGCAGTGTAAAACACAGCAAACGTTGCAGTGTAAAACACAGCAAAAGTTGCAGTGTAAAACACCAAAAGTTGCAGTGTAAAACACAGCAAAAGTTGCAGTGTAAAACACAGCAAAAGTTGCAGTGTAAAACACCCAAAGTTGCAGTGTAAAACACCCAAAGTTGCAGTGTAAAACACCAAAAGTTGCGGTGTAAAACACCCAAAGTTGCGGTGTAAAACACCAAAAGTTGCGGTGTAAAATTTTGTTCTTGTCGGCCACGGTACGTACGTTTCGAATTCCAGCAGGTGCTGCACGAGTTGCCCAAACGGTGAGCATTCTTATGACATCATGCCTACATGCATGAGCATTCAATTAGCAAACTGTCATTTGTGTAAAAAAGAAGGAAGATATGACTCGATGAAATGAGCATTAGAAATCTATGTTTTAAGGTAAGAGTCAGGTTTATGCACCTGGGACAGCCTCCTTCGCAGACTTGTGAGGTGGCGGTGTTATTTTTTTCTGGGATCGACGCAAGTTTAACTGTTATGCCGCAGAGCGAGTTTGCCGGGGAGAGAGTCTGTCACGTTGGGCGGTGAAAATCTCTCTTCCCGGGAAACTCCCTCCGCGGCAAAACCGTCCCTCCGCGGCACTCCCCGAAAAACAAACTTAACGCCGCGCCGCCGCCCCACAAGTCTGCGAAAGACGCTGCACCTGGGATAGTATGTGCGCCAAACGTTCCTAATTCTGCCTGAAAATCTGCGCCTCTAGGTCCGAACTGTAACGCGATGGGGACGGTGATTCCAGCGGGTATGGACGTGCAGGTGAACGGCTACACCTGCCGCTGTCTCCACGACACAGCATTTCCACCCCCGCACGGCAAGCGGTCTGCCCTGGCTGGGAGAGGTTCCGCCGCCTATGGCTGTGAACCATTCCTGCAGGCTGTCTGCTCCCCGCCACCCACAACTACTCTTTCGACTGTGACTACGGTACTAGTGACAGTTCTATACGAGAATATAGTGCATGTGTATATGCAAGGCCAATATCAGCACTACATGTACATGCCTGGTCTTCACCCACCTGTTGATATCATGACGATACAACCGACGACCGGATATATTCATCTTATCTCTGTGTAAACTACGTGCTAATCATGTTTTACTAACTTCCTGAATATTTACTTATCTTATAGCGCGCTACCAGCCGTTCAACTCCTTTATCTTGCGATTGGGTCACATCATATCACAAGATAACCACAGTGTGCAAATCTAATACTCTCCAAGCAGAGGTTGGTGGGGGAAGATCGTCACCGTTTTATATATGCCTCGTTTTTTTTTTGTCGACAAAAAAAAACGAGGCATATATAAAACGGTGACGATCTTCCCCCACCAACCTCTGCTTGGAGAGTACAAATCTAATAGTTATGTTTACCGAGCGAAAACGTATTGTTTTTGCTCTGTTTTCTCTTCTTGATCTCCAAACCAATACGGTCACTGACCTGAACCAGGCGTCTATCACCATGGTAACTAGTGTTGGGTTACATCATGTTGCAATTATATAGCAGGAGGGATTTAGACTCCTGTGTTTATCCTATGAATGTGTTTGAGTAAAAATGAACAGGGCAGACTATATGGAGTAGAACCTATATAACCTTCGCATATAGGTTCTACCTATATGCGAAGGTAAACATTATGCATTTGCCTTGCAAATGTTACCTGTCTAGTTTGCTCAATATCCACTGCTTCACTATTTGTGACGTCGCTTCCCTTCATATTTACCTCTGTCTGATAACGTGTTCACCATCTGGTAAGTCTCACATGCCAAAACACAGAGGCGAATATATAGGTTTGGCAGTCTGGACACTTTTCAGTTCTACGAGTCACCGTTGAAATAAAACTGTGACAGTATGGTCCGTGTGTTGTTCCTACTGTCCGCAGTGCTGGCCGTTCCTGGCGTGCTGGCCATGGTACAGCGTCAAGACGCAAAGTCTACTTCGCCGCGCCCGACCACAACACCCATGACCACGACTCCAGAGCCAACCACTACTACCCCGAGCGGCTGTATGGGCCAGGACGGACAGTTCCACGCACCAGGTTCTTCTTACCACCCTACAGGTATGCGTCAGGATGGTATGACTGGTAACGTTAGCTAGACTCTATACATGTAGCTATCGACCCTCTGAAGACACTTACCATTTCATCTATAGTTACTATGAGCAGCCACGTCTAGTGTCTTTTGTGTTGTACAGAGAAAATTATGACCGATGTGCATTTTTGCATGTAAGGGGCTCAGTGGAACAGAATGTGGTTAATACACATGGCACGTACTCAAGTTGACAAAGAAGAAAATGCTGTTGAGCTGGAACTGAGCCATGGTCGTAACTACCACATTTTGTTTTATCTGAAAAGATTCTGCCGTACACTCTCGGACCTTAAACTTCTTGGATGACTGCCGATTGACCATAAGACCATGGCAGAAGGCCAGAAAAAATTATTGTGAAAAACATGTTGTTGTACCACATGCAAGGTCTTAGTGGTCTGGTGTGATATTACACCTAGGAGATTGACCTGGCAGGACTCTGGATAGTACGAATGAAAAAAAAAATACATGGAGATTTAAAACAAGGGCAGAAAATGGCAATGGAAAATGTTCCACATGTTGCCACATCACATTTTAATGGTACTACAGCTCCGTCATTCCCGACCCATATGCTACCTTCTTCCACCACAGGGGACAAGTGTTACACCTGTCATTGTGACTTTGGCTTCGTCAACTGGTTCGACTGGTCCAGTACTGTCAGCGAAAACTGTCACTACACCGACTGCGCATGTCCACCATGCGTGGATGACGTCATTCCTCCCGACCAGTGCTGTCCAACTTGCCCTAACGGTGAGCGGACGTTTGTCAATAAAATAAAATTTGTTTTGACAAGGAGGACTAGGAGTAGACAGTCACCATATTGTTTCTTGTTTAGAGATAAGAATAAGATATAACAAGCTGACAATGACATGTAACCTGGGCTCTTGATATGTAAGACAGAATATTCATATTTAATATAATACTAGTAGTTGGTTGGTAGCATTTTATGACAACATCCTTAAATCTATCATGAAAGTTCATCTCTGTTGGTAATCATGTATAAAGTTAAAATATACCCAGTGTTGACGTCACACTTCAAAGAAGCCGCATGACAAGCCTAACTACTGGGTCAGTCTACTGAGGAAGACCAGAGTGACTGGTCGAAAGCTCTATAGGTGAGAGAACCTTTTGTGTTGGATCAAAAGTTTTAACTTTAAACATCCTTAAATATGCTGGTGAATTTTTGTCCCCACTAGGTCACAACTGTAACGCGATGGGTACGGTGATCCCGGCCGGTAGAGATGTCCAGGTGAACGGCTACACCTGCCGCTGTCCCGACACCTCCGGGTTTCCGTTCGGTCGTCGAAAGCGGTCCACCGTCGATCGGAGGGGGCTTCGGTACTTTTCGCCGGTCTTCGGCGACTGTACCCGATTCCTGGAGGCCACCTGCTATCGTCCGACGACAGTTCCTCCTACAACAACAGTACCAACTACAGTACCAACAACTACAACCCCGACAACAACAGAACCAATCACAACCATACCGCCTAGCATATGCGTTACAGACAACGGAGTCTACAACCCAGGCCAAACCTGGCATCCAAACGGTGGGTATACGTAGCTGCTGTGCTAAAATGTGCATGTCTCCATTTGTTCTAGACACAATATATAGCGCTGTAACGTTAGATGTATGAAAAGGATAGGGGTGGTGGAGGAATATCTATCTGTAAACAACAACCAATACGAACTATATCAGGCTTCGGGAGGCGGATGGAAGAGTAGAAATCGGCCAAATAGAGAGATAGTATGCCAGGGGAGTTGGTCTGCTGGGGAGAACAGTTTGCCGCACCAGGCAGACCAACTCCCCTGGCATGCTATCTCTCTCTATATATATATTTGGCCGATTTCTACCCTGTCCAACCGCCTCCCGAAGCCTGGTAGAGGCTAGCCGCGGCGACTGTTGTAGGGCTTCTCTAGCTTGCAGTCTTTTACGTTAGGGCTAATGTAAAAGACTGCAAGCAAGTCGCCGCGGCTAGGTAGAGGCTAAATGAGAACTGCAGTAGACTTTCTCTGTTGAACAGCGTACTACAATGTATACTTTCCATAACCAACAGGAGACCCGTGCCACACGTGCACGTGTGAGTTCAACTCGTGGCAGAGTACGGCTCAGGAGATGTGTTATTATGCCGACTGCGCATGCCCATCGTGCGTTGATGAGGTCATTGACCCTGGTCAGTGCTGTCCAAGGTGTCCGAACGGTGAGTACATGTACATGTGGCATCTTCTGTCCTTGCCGAGCCTTCCTTCTATATCATTGCTTCGTTGTAACTCGGGTTCCCTCAAGATGTTTTATTCGATCAAAAGATAACATGTGTAAAGCATTCTTCCACAATTTCCGAAAATAATTGTTAGAGAACATAGGACATTGGATTTTTTTTACACAACCAGTAATGTCACTCACTTGCTTACGCTTCAATGCCTATCAACCACAATAATAAATCGGGATGAGGGGGGTTACAAACCTACCCACGTTTGGGATTGCATTCTCGCCGCAAAAGCGCCACCTACATAGAGCGGCGAGAAGCAGTTCTCCAGTCAGAAGCTCGGATCAAGTACACTATACACTAGTATACAGTATAATGTCCTTGCTCTGAGGAAGATGTTTGTCTGTTAGGCACCAGAACGTAAATATAACCAGGTGAGAGACTTTACTGATGGTGTAAAATTTTCAAAAAGATACGAAATCCGACGGTTTCGTAAGTTCCTAATCCTGCCGGCAAATTTTCCCCACCAGGTGACAACTGTAACGCGATGGGTACGGTGATCCCGGCCGGTAGAGATGTCCAGGTGAACGGCCAGACCTGCCGCTGTCCTAGCACCTCGGACTATCCGTTCGGCCGTCGCAAGCGGTCAGTTCGGAGGGGACTTCGGTACTTCTCGCCGATCTTCGGCGACTGTGACCAGTACTTGGAGGCCACCTGCGATCGTCCGACGACAGTTCCGTCAACCACAACAGTACGGCAACTCTGACAGGTTTTGGCAGGCATTACAACCATCCCGACTCCTACAACCAGACGTAACAGATGGATTTGGAAAATAAAGTGATTTCCGAAAAACAAGATTTCGTTCGTCTACAATTTTTTGTCTGCTATTACTGAAAGGTGCTCAGCGCTTCTTAGAATTCGTAATTTTTTTTGCATTCCAACAATAAAGTATGTCGTAGTAAAGTGATATCGTTGAAAAATGCTTTATATATGCTGCACTGATGAGGTCATTTCGTTCTTTCCAAGGCCATTACCATTTAAGATATGTTATCAAATAGCACATCCGTCATCTGTTTAGTTTCACACGAAGGCGAATAGGATTGGCAGCTTGTGCACTTCTATAGCAACCCCAGTCTGTACCTAGGTTTGGGCAAAGTGTGACAGAATGGCACTTGCTCATGTCTTGATCCTAATTTTTACGGTACTCACCGTTCCTGATACGTTTGCCACGGTGCAACGTGCTCGCCAGGCTGACACCAGCGATCCATGGACATGGCTAACAATTACTACAACTATATCACCTTGCCCGTACGGCCCTACCTTTAACCCTACAGGTAAGAAGGAATAGGTCTCAATATTTTCACGCAACGAAACGTAGGAATTCGTCAGGTTTTAGACCATGAAAGTGCTTCTTCTACACCTTGCACTTGTTCTTGGTTTTGCGTTAATTGACACGCGACCATTATCAATGATAATAATAAAATTATTAATATTAGTATTACAATGTATTTTCCTTACTGCTACGACAGCGGAGGGTTGTTACGAGTGCACGTGTGGCAGTACCGGTTATGAGAACTGCCGGTGCATATGTGGGTGTGACTGCGCACCATGTGTCGATGCCGCGTACATTACCAGCAGGTGCTGCACGACTTGCCCATACGGTGAGCATTCTTATGACGTACGTATGTCTACATGCATGAGCAAACTGTGATTTGTATAAAAATAAGGACTCGACAAAATATGACTCGATGACGAAATGAGCATTAGAAATCTATATTTTATGGTAAGAGTTGGGTTTATGATACCATATTCACCTCCTTCGCAGACGTGTGAGGCGACGGTGGTATTTTTTTCTGGGATCGACGCAAGTTATGCCACAGATAGAGAGAGTTTGCCGGGGAGAGAAATCTCTCTTTCCGGGAACCTCCCTCGGCAGCAAAAACGTCCCTCCGCGGCATCATGAACTCGGGTCACTCCCCAAAAAAAATCTCAACGCCGCCGCCCCACAAGTCTGCAAAGGAGGCTACACCTGGGTTAGTATGTACACGATAGACGTGAAAATCTGCGTCCCTAGGTCCGAATTGTAACGCGATGGGGACGGTGATTCCGGCGGGTATGGACGTGGAGGTGAACGGCTACACCTGCCGATGTACCCACGACTCTTTCTTTTCACCCTCGTACGGCAAGCGGTCTGCCCTGGCTGGGAGAGGCTCCCCCGCATATTGTGAACCATTCCTGCAGGCTGTCTGCTCCCCGATACCGGCCACAACTACTCGTCCCACTACGGTACTAGTGACAGTTCTATACGAGAATATAGTGCATGTGTATATGCAAGACTTTAGCAGTTTGTAATCTAATGTGGAAAGGTTTGCATTATACTACTACATGTGCACCTACAATTTAATTAGTAATTACCTACACCTAGACACAGACAGGCGATTAGCAAGCTGCCATTTGTATCTAATATAGTTATAGAGAGTTAGTCAATATTATAGGTTTATAGTATTAAAATGAGAAAATAATGGTGCAGCGTGCCAGCGTGACAAGTTCCTAATTCTGTCCCTAGGTGCGACCTGTGACGTTAACGCGATGGAGACGGTGATTCCGGCGGGTACGGACGTGCAGGTGGATGGTATGGCAAGCGGTCTGCCCTGGCTGGGAGAGGTTCCGCCACCTATTGATGTGAACCATACCTACAGGCTGTTTGTCAGCCCATCATAACAGGATGATAAATAAAAGCGGACCAAAACCCTGACTCTACGAATTACATATTGTCTCCAGCGTTTAGAGACTTAGTTTTGCCTACGTTGTTTCCTTAATGAATCAATGACTGATAAAATAAAAAAAATAGTTTAGATTTTGAAAAGTTTAAAAAGCTAGAAGCCCTGAAAAACACAAAATTGAAAAGGTACTTGTCAATGAATGAATAACCCCATTGGTCATTCTAAATGTGTAGATGGCAACAGGACTGACATTGTTTATCCTTGGTCACTGCCATGGTATGAACTCACAGCTACTTAAAATACTAACCTCAGCGGAAATTTGGTCATGTCCATGTCTTACCCAGCTTCCCGTGTTTATCTAACATTATCTACAGGCATATCCGCACCGCCAAATTGGCTACTGGTTCAGAGATAAGGACGTTGTCAAGTTTACTTTGAAAACTGCTTCACTGCCGTTCTTCCCTTTGTTTATATAATGACATTCTCCAATAGTATGTTCTTCATCTGCTTAGTTTCACATGATGAACGCGAAGACAAATAAAGTTTCAAACATATATTTAGTAGACACCACACATCTCCTTAGTTCTAATTCTCTTGCACATGTTGGAACTCATATATATATATCGGCATACATACCAGTATGACCCGTGTGTTTATCCTCTTGTTTCTGGCACTGACCGTACCTGGTGTGTTCACCATGGTGCTGCCAGACCATCACGAGGCTAAAACCTGGTTGACCATGACAGCGACGATATTGCCGCCATCCACAACTACTGGGTTTGAGCCAATCACAACTGCATGGAGGCCTCCAACGACTATAGTTACCTTTTGTGTCGGTCCTTACGATGGACAGTGGTACCCGCCAGGTTCTGTCATTCATTCAGGTATGAATCAGGAAAGGCATGGATTGTTTTGAGATCATGGATAATGCTTACAATAAAGACAAGAAAAGACAGTTCACGCATGCAACTATTAATCCAAAACCTCCTAGATGCATGCAAGACCCTTGTGTGTGTTTTGGTTCATGTTTCCAAATTCTGAACAATCACATCATCAATATGTTTACACAAAAAATGCTGTTACTGTGTGTCTGATACATTACTGAGCCATACTTTGTCCAGTTTTATGCCTTTAGACTAACATAATATCACCTTTCAGGCCAGATATACACTTACAGCAGAATGTTTATTAGGGGGGCCAGCTATGTGTCAATTAGATATAGCCCTATGTTTCAATCAGTCTAAAAATCCAGTACATATTGTGTTATCTAATTGGGTGCGCAATCATAGTGGGAGACTCTGAAGAAGCTGTTATCACTTAACAGAAGACCATCATTTTCACACCTCTGCATCATATTTTTTTTACTCTGTCCGTAATGTGCAATAGTAGTTTTTGTTTCATCACATAGGTCCCTGCTCTGATTGTTACTGTGATGATGAAGGTCAGGCGCAATGTATGACTATTAGTGCCTGTGCCTGCCCGCCATGTGTGGATGAAGTTGTTTATCCCAACGACTGTTGCCCAAGTTGCCCGAACGGTAAGTAGCTTTGAGCTAATTAACGAAAGATACAACTAATATTTGCAGTTAGGCCACACCAATTTAATTTCTTGGTTAACGAATTCGCCTTCTTCATTTTTTCTGGTTTGCAAAAAAAAAATAATAATTCAGAATCAACTGCAAAATGCTCATATTTTGCCCTGAACAGTTCTTTTCTTTCAATGCAGTGGTATCATTAAAACTTCAAAATTCATTGTTTAAATTTTGAACCAGCCTGGTGTGTTGAGTTCATGGCTCCTATCGTACCATTTTGGGCCATAATAGGATGCCTACACCTGTTCTTTTTTTCTGAAGAAAAATCTGTTAACCAAGAAATCAAATTGGTGTGGCCTTACAGTGAGGAAAAGGCTGTTTTACATGTAGGAGAGTTTTTTTTTTCTACTGGCTCTATGGATGAGAACAGATGGTTAGCAAATTCTTGCTTACATCCCAAACTGACCATAGAATGAACCATGCAGAATCTTAACATTGAGAATATTAGACTTATATGTACACTTTCGGAGAACTAGAAGTATTCTGTGGCAAATGTTCATCACTAGGTGAAAACTGTTACGCAATGGGGACCATCATCCCAGCCGGTACAGATGTCCAGGTGAACGGCTACACCTGCCGCTGTCCTGACCCCTCCGGGTTTCTGTTTGGCCGTCATGAGCGGTCAGTTCGGAAGGCACTTGGGTACGATTGGCCCGATGGTGGCTGTAACCAATTGGAGGCTACCTGCACCATGACGACATTGCCGCCATCCACAACTACAACTATGCCTGAAACGACAGTTGCCGGTTGTATCAGCTCGTACGATGGACAGTGGTACCCGCCAGGTTCTGGCATGCCTTCAGGTATGAATCAGGATGGACATGGGGTGCTTTTGGGATATGGATAATGCTTTCAACAACAAGACAAGAAAAACCACATCATGCATGCAACTATTAAACCTCCTAGATGCATGTTAGACCCTTGTGTTCATTTTGGTCCATGTTTTCGAATTCCGAACATCATCAATATCTGTACATCAAAAAGTTTGCTATACTGTTACTGTATGTGTCATACATTACTGAGCCAATCAGTCTAAAGATCCATTACATGTTTTGTCATCTAATTGGGTACACAATCATGATCAATCACAGTGGGAGACTCTGGAGAAGCTGTTATCACACATCTGCATATTTCTTTCTAGTCCGCCCATAATGTGCACTTAGTAGTTTTTGTTTCCTCCAGGCAGCCCCTGCTCTGATTGTTACTGTGATGATGAAGGTCAGCCACTATGTATGACTATTAGTGCCTGTGCCTGCCCGCCATGTGTGGATGAAGTTGTTTATCCCAACGACTGTTGCCCAAGTTGCCCGAACGGTAAGCAGCTTTGTGCTAATAAACAAAATATACAGTCAACTAATATTTGCAGTTACAGTGAGGAAAAGGCTGTTTTACATGTAGGAGAGATTTTTTTCTACTGGCTCTATAGATGAGAACAGATGGTTCAAAAATTCTTGCTTACATCCCAAACTGACCATAAAATAACCATGCAGAATCTTAAAATTGAGAATATTAGACTTATATGTACACTTTCGGAGAACTAGAAGTATTCTGTGGCAAATGTTCATCACTAGGTGAAAACTGTTATGCCATGGGGACCATCATCCCGGCCGGTAGAGATGTCCAGGTGAACGGCTACACCTGCCGCTGTCCTGACCCGTCCGGGTTTCTGTTCGGCCGTCATGAGCGGTCAGTTCGGAAGGCACTTCGGCACGATTGGCCTGATGGTGGCTGTAACCAATTGGAGGCTACCTGCACCCAATAATCATAATTATAAGAGCAAACTGGAGGTCTCTACAAGGGCGTTTATCATCCTTAGCAGCTGGACACAGTCTGAGAGGCTCTCCCCATCACAACCATCCCAACTCTAGTAACCGAATGGAATAAGTTGGATTTGAAATAAAGCGATGGCATGGTTAAATCTTAAACTATTACTTTCATTTCTTTTATCGTTGGCTCTGCTGCTATTGAGCCCTATTTTTGTGATGAAAAGGTATAAAATAGCAAGCTATAAATGAAGTTACATGCAAACTCGTTAATAGACATTATCAATAAAAATCCTTAAGTACTGTATGGCAAGCGGTTGTGAACTCGACATCTTCAAATTGCTACTGAGATAAGGAAATGTCTAGCCTGTGCAACCCAAGCTCTGGGGGTTCCCTAGATAGTCCGCCACCCAAGAGTGGGGGACCAACTAGCTAGCCAGTGAAAAGCGAGGTTCTGTCAGGTT